AGGCCCTGACGCCCGTACCTTCTGGCCCTAGGATGACTCGGTCACGTTGCAAGTCACCCAACCCTTCACAGGGTCCACAAGGATGCCCCCCCCCCAGCTTAAGAGCATCAGGCAGCCTGAGATCATGACTCAGAACCCCTCTGTGCCCTGGCCAAGGTTTGCCTGCACCTCTAAATGCTCAGAAACAAGGAACATGTACACCTAGCTGCACCCAGACACCAAGTGTGAGGTCCCAAGGGTTATTTCTCCAAGATCTTCTAGGGCCCCAATCCTCTCTGCAGAGTAACTTTGAGGGCTGGGATAAGAGACCCTTGGCAGATGTGGGTGGATCTAAGCCAGGAGCCTACATTGGGACCAGAGATAAGGAGTCCCAAAAGGACTATGGCTGGCCCTGTGACTCCAAGTCCTATCATTCAGGGTCTGAAATGAACTCAGGACATTGAATGTCAAGGTCACAAAGAATCAGGCAAGGCGCATCCCCATCCGGTCCCTGCCCTCCCCTTCAGCCCAGTTCTAGGCAGGAATGGCTAGGTCTCCATGCCAGTGGCCACTCTCCTTTCTTCCCAATATCCCATGGACATGAACCAAGGAAGGGCAAGGGCGGCTGAGGCAGCCCTTCCTCGCCACTCCAGGATCCCCAAGGCCATCTAGGCGTCATGGCAACATGGGCAGGAAACAGCTGCCATAGCAACTGGCGTCCAGGGAAGCATGTTGCCTGGCAACAGAGGCCACAGCCCTCACCCCCCCCCCCCCCATATACAAACACACCCAACAACAAGATCTGGCTGGCCATGCTTTCCACCTATGTGGTTGGGAGTTCCAGTATCTAGGCAGTGTTGTAACGCAATGCGTTCTCACCCCAATCCAGGCTACAGATCTGCAGAGATCGCAGCATATATTTACATATCTGAGCCTGTGAGTAGAAAACCCACCATGATTGCAGATATGGGGCTCCTCAATTCCTCTGAAAGTCCTTCCACCACACAAACACTCTCACACACACACACACACACACACACACACACACACACACACACATACACGCACACACACACATACACATCTCACAAGATGTTCTGAACCTCAAGGCCATACTGCAAGGACCACAGGGACAGGGTAAGGAAGACTTCGGCAAGGAAGCATCTTCGGGAGATAAGCCAGCCTTCCAGGGAGGTCACAGTTCAAAGAAAGGTAGAGTGGACAGGGAGTGTGGGGTTTCCAGCTGAGAAAGGAGGCTCCCCAGATCTCAGACAGGAAGAAAGCAGAAAAATATCTAAAGTGAGCTGGTGGCTCATGCCTGTAGTCCCAGCTATTCAGTAGGCTGAGATCTGAGGATAGTGGTTCAAAGCCAGCCCAGGAAGGAAAGTCTATGAGAATCCTATCTCCAATTAACCACCCCAAAACCCAGAAGTAGAGCTATGGCTCAAGTGGTAGAAAGCTAGCCTTGAGCTAAAAAGCTCAGGGATAGTGCCCTAGGCTTGAGTTCAAGCCTCATGATGGACTTGCAAAGGGCATTTTAAAAACACAGATAAACAGCCAAGTGGTGTATAAACACATTATGATCATCCATAGTCACATAAAGCATGATGGCTCCAAGAGATTGTAAAGGAGTGGCTGGAAGTGTAGAGGGCTCAGTGTGGAATGTTTATCTAGCATGGCAAAGCCCTGGGTTCCATCCTCACAACTGGAGAGTGAAAAAAAAAGACTATAATAGAACTGGTATCTACATCAGTGTCATCACCATCATGACATCACTTCTCACGTTTGTGGTGCAGCTGGTGTTCACAAACCTGGTGGTTTGCAGCCAGGTGCCAGCTGCAATCCTGGATTACAATCACACCTGTAATCCTAGCTACTTGGGAAGCTGAGATCTACAGACTGCAGTTCAGAGCCAGCTCGGGCAAAAAATTCTATAAGACTCATCTCCCATTAGCCTCAAAAAAAATGGATCTGTGGCTCAAGTGATAGAACATTAGCCTTGAACAAAAGCAGCTCAGGCACAGTTCCTAGGCTCAATGCCTAGGCCCTGAACTCAAGCCCCCGGAAAACAAAAACCCTAGCTGATCAGGTGTACGCAATATACACAATTATGTCAATAATAATAACAATAAATGATTATGTTTGCTGGTTTATTCATTTACTATACTTTTTTGTTTTATTTATCTACTTATTTTTGTGTGCCAGTATTGGGACTTGAACCCAGGACTTGGGAACTCTCCTTTAGTTTTGTTGGTGGTGGTGGTGTTGAAGGCTAGTACTCTACTACTTGAGCCATAGCTCCATTTCCAGCTTTTTGCTGGTTAATTGGAGATAAAAGACTCACAGATGTTTCTGCTGTTGCCGGTCTGAACTGAGATCCTCATATCTCAACCTCCTAAACAGCTAGGATTACAGACATGAACCACCAACACGCCACTTGTTATTATTTTAAGTGTTTTATAGATATATAGAGAGAGATAGTTAGTAGATGGTAGATAGATGTGTGAGAGAGAATTTATTGTAAAAACATTTTGCTGAGTTCTGCCAGCAGCATCTCTCAAATGTCTCATGTTTATTGTGCCTTTGATTGCCCCATTTTCTCCTGTGTTTAATCTTGTGTTGGCTTATAAATCATGACCCTAGTGCAATCATGGGCTCTACTACATTTGGGGATCATGTAGCCTAGGTATGCAGGAGGCTTTCCCATTTAGACTTGTATGGGCACACTGCATGACACTTATTCAGCCATCAAATTGCTGAATAAATTTCTCAGAGCTGTCCTTGTCATTAAGCAACACATATACATATAGAATGAGAGTTAAGATCCAAGAAAATCTTCTTACCAGTGACAAAGACATCTAGAAAACAAAAAAAAAAAAAAAAAGGAGTGGGGAAAGGGGAAGAATGCATAATAACCCCAAAAGCCCATGTGACAACTGGGAATTCAAAACAAGCCAGAAAAGCTGAAAAGATTTTTATCAGTGAAACAGTGAAATACTGCTTCTCAAAACACCAGGCCATGGGGCATATCACTCAGTAGAATATCTGGTTTGCATCCTCAAAACCCTGGGTTCCATCCTCAGCACTGAAAATAAGTATAATATACCCATCAGGTGGTTTGCACAATAACCAACAAGACACCCTGTGTCAGCATGAAATCCAAGGCCCCAGGCTGGGAAGGTAGCTCAGTGGTAGAGCGCTTGCCTTGCATGCCTGAGGCCCTGAGTTTGATTCCTCAGCACCACATAAGCAAAAAGAAAAAAAGCCGGAAGTGGTGCTGTGGCTCAAGTGGTAGAGTGCTAGCCTTGAGCTCGAGCTGAGGGACAGCGCCCAGGCCCAGAGTTTAGGCCCCATGACCGGACCGCCCAAAAAAGAAAGAAAGAAAGAAATCCAAGGCCCCTGGGGTCAGAGAAGGCTTATGGAGTCCTAAGAAACTCCTCTCCTGCCCTCAAACTAGGTTGGGTCAGTCACTGGTGGCTCATCCTTACAATCCTTGCTACTCAGAATGCTGAGATCTGAGGATCATGGGTTGAAGCCAGCCTGGGCGAATAAACCCCATCTTCCATCAACCAGCAAAAAGCTAAAAGTAGAGGTGTAGCTCAAGTGGTAGAGTGCCAGACTTGCGCTAAAAAGCCCTCCTAGTTTGAGAGGCCCTAAATTCAAGTCCCACTACTAACACCAATTAACCAATCAATCAATAAAAATCTCTCTTGTAAGCAAAGGTGCCAGGGGCTCACACCTACAATTCTAACTACTTAGAAGGCTGAGAGCTGAGATTCAACAAATCCAAGACTATCTTGAATTAACCAATAAAAAGCTAGAAATGTGGCTCAAGGTGATAGAGCATCAGCCTAACTAGCAAGATCATGAGGCCCTGTTATCAGCACAATTTTTTTTTCAGTCATGGGGCTTGAACTCGGCTTGGGCACTGTCCCTCATCTCTTCAGTTCTAGGCTAGCTCTCTAGCCCTCTAGCCACAGTGCCACTTCTGGTTTTCTGGTGGTTTTTTGGAAATTTGTCTCACAGACTTTCCTGCTCAGGCTGGCTTTGAACCACAATCCTCAGAGCTCAGCCTCCTGAGTAGTTAGGATTACAAGCATGAACCACCAGTGCCTGGCTACAAAAAAAAATTTTTTAAGGCAAACAAACAAAAACTTCCTGGGGTAGGAGGCAAAGGACACTCTCCAACCTGACTTTCTCCTCAGCCTAATACCCAGCCAGTGAGAAGTTGGAATAAGAAGCTTCCAGGCCCACAAGTTTCTCCTTATCTATTCCAGAACATTCCAAAGCTTTACAGTGCAAACTATTATGATTTAGCTCAGAGGTCAGTGGCTTGTAGGTTTGTGACTTGACTAACCTTGGCCACAGGTTCTAGATCAGGTCTGACTGGATCTTCTCATCCACTTTTCAGCAGCTGGAGCCCAGCCAGGACACAATGCCCATGGGCCAGAACCCTGGAGGAGACCAAGTCAGAGGCCACTCCTATCATACTTGGTTTCTTGTTTGCAAAGAATGTTCCTCCACAGCAGGGCTCCAGTGGCTCACGCCTGTAATCTTACCTACTCAGGAGACTGAGTTGAGGCTCGAAGTTCAAAGCCAACCTGGGCATGAGACACTTGATCTCCAATGAATCACCCAAAAAGCCATACATGAGGCTATGGTTAAAGCACTAAAGTGCTATTCTTGAGCCAAAAAAAAAAAAAGCTAAAGGACAGTGCTCGGACCCTGAGTTCAAGCCCCAAGATACACACATACATATTCCCCACCCCACCCCCTCTCAGAAAAGAAAGGAAGGAAGGGGGAGAGATGGGGACATGGTTAAAGGGGCTCAGGGTCAGTGAGGCGGGAGGGGCCTGCCTCTCACCCCAGCCCCTCCCATTGTGACCTCCCCGGCTGCACTCAGTCCTTTATGACCATCCCCACCAGAGTGGGCTTGTGAGCCAGCGAGACATCCAAACTGCCCTCAAAGAGAGTGGCAAGTCAGCCAGGCTGCAGCCTGGATTGGGGGGTCACAGGGAGAAATGGAGGGGCCAAAATCACTGGGTCCCTGTGTCTACTCCCACCCTCAATGTCCCCCAGCCCCAGCCTCGAACAGCCATGGAGGATGCGTGGACCAGCCATGCCAGGGATGTGTAAGGTGGCCCTGCCTGCTCCCCATTCCCTCTGTTCAATCAGTGGAGACTGCAAGGCCTTTCCCAGCTCCAGGGGCCAATGGTGGGGGCTCCAGGGTGGGGTTCAAAGGATCAGAGATCTTTCTCGCAAAAGAAGAAGGAGAGAGGCAGCAGCAGAGAGGGAGAGAGCTGTCAGGGCCGAGACAAGGAGAGGCAGAGACGGGGTTGGGGAGGGGCTGGCCTCCACACTCAGAGCGAGAACAGGAGGCCCCTAGGCATGGGGGACCTTCCAACTTAGGACCCAGACCTGCCCCATGCCCACCACCCCTACCACCTGGAGGAGGGACCCCAGCCTTGTCCAGGGCAGGCTCCTCAAAGCACCAGAATGGATCGTTGGAAGCTGCAGAACAATCCTTCCGCCAGTTGGCACAAGAGAACCATAGCTTGGTGAGTACCCCCCAGATGGGCTCCAGGCTGCTCCCTTCACCCCAGCCTGTTTCTAGCCTGACGATAGTTCCTGAGAGGTGGGCCCATTTCTCTGCCTCTCAACCCCAGAAAAGGCAGAACCAAGATCTTCGCGAGCAGCTGGGGGCTCTCCTGGCGCCAGGGCCCCAGTTCCTGCCCCTGTGTACACATTCCAGCTGCACAGCTCTGACCTGGGTAAGTCATTGCCTGCCACGCCGGGCCCCCACATAACTACACACACCCCAGGCAGCCTAGGCACAGCCTTGGGCTGATTTGAGGGGCTCTCCCAACAGTCTCCAGAAGCAATCAGCTCCCGGTCCCTGGAAGAGAGGGGACCTGTGCAGCTAGTACGGCAGGAGCTCTGTCGGGGTGAAGAGGCTTTCGTACAGCAGTCCCAGGTGGGCCTTGGTGGAAGGCGCTGGGCCTGGGATCGGGGTTCCTTGTGCCCATACTAAACCCCCTCCCCACACAGAATGAACTGCAACAGATTCGACTGTCCTTTGAGAGGAAGAAGATGGCTATTACTGAGGTGCCCACCTGGCCTGGGGGTGGGACAGGGGAGCCTCTAGTGGGTCCTGCTTCTCCAATATGACCCAGCCTCCCTGCTGCCAGGTGTGGGATGGTGTGGCTGAAGTACACATGGCCCTGAACAATCAGGCCACCGGACTCCTGGTAGGTCCCCCAAAAATTGATACCCAGGAGGCCAAGGGGGCAGGGCAGGAGGGGTGGCAGCAGTGAGAGGTGGGAGGAGGGCAGGGTGGTCCGGGTGGAGGTGTTACCTTACATCCCTCTGCCCACAGAACCTCAAGAAGGACATTCGGGGTGTGCTAGATCAGATGGAGGACATTCAGCTAGAGATTCTGGGGTGATGTGGGGACCTGAGGCCGGGATGAGCCAGGAGGGATGGTGTGGGCCCAACCTCCCCTCCCAGTTGCCATATTAAGGGCACACCACCAGACTAAGGATGAGGGTTATCTGGTTCTGATTGTGTGGTTCCCCAGGGAGAGGGCCCAGTGCCGCTCTCAGGCCAGGAAGGAGCAGCAAAAAGCATGCACAGCGGTGAGCCCACACCCCACACCCCTTCTAGGCTGGAGACCTAGCCTTTATCTGGGGGCATTGCCAGGGGGATGCAGGTGAATGGACTCCAGAGAAGAGGCCCCCCAGAGACAGAGCCCCCAAAGAGGGCAGTGGATACAGAAAGCTCTCCCTGGGAATCAGGGATGTGGGTATGGCTAGAATCCCTGTCCATCGTGGGTACCCCAGAAGCAAGAGTCTCCACCCTCTGCCGTGGCCCTCAGGGAAAGTCTCTGACGCAGCCCCCTCCCCAACAGAAAAAGAGACCGAAGCTGGGATGTTCCGAGGGTGTCAAGGGCCAGATCTGGTAGGTCACCTTGCAGGCAGAGCCCAGTCTCCCCTGGACCGTCCCTGCAGGCACCCCCTGTCCCCTGACCACCACCACCCGCAGGCTGCTGGCCCTGAGGCTGCTGCTGGGTGCCCTGCTGGCCTGCACTGCTGCTTACGTGTACGTGGTGGACCCCACACCCTTCGAAGGGCTGGTACCGCCCTTGCTGAGCAGAGCTGCTGTCTGGAAACTCCGGGCCCTGCTGGGCCCCTTCCTGCACCTCGAAGTGGATGACTTCCTGCCGTTCTAGGCCAGAGGCCCAGTAGCCCCACAGCCCCAGCGAGGAAGAGGCCAGGTGGACGGCGCTGTCCCAGGTGCCCAGTGGCTCTGCCCGCCCTTGCCCAAAGCACTGCTGCACACCATCCCCGCCAGGAGCTGCGGAGAAGAGTGGAAGTGGGGTCTGTCCTGAGGGCTGGGCCTACAGCTGGACATATAGTCATGACAGCTTGGCATTTGAAATTGTTTCCATGGAAACGAGGAGGGGGTAGAGGTTTTGCTGCTGCTGATACCATGATTTGATCTGGTGTGGAGGGGGGGTCTCTCAGGGTGGGACCCCATCTCAGCCCCAACATTCAGCTGGCTTTCCTGAATCTAGCTTTCCCTATCTGTCTGGCATGAATAGCGCTCTGAAACGGGCCTCTGAGGGTATCAAAAGAGGCTTTCCTTGGAAAGTAAGGTGCAGAGTCCTTCATTCTCACCCCCAGGACCAACCTTTCCCAGGGACCTTGGGACCCTGAATTAGCTAACTCACTGACCTCATGACCCTCACATATCCTGCTCTGTACCTTTGCCACCCACCTGGGCTGTCTCCACTCAGGGTCCCTGTCCAGTCCAGCCTCCTGCCACAGCCCAAGGCTCAAACGAGCCCCCCCATCCGACCCCATGGACAGAGCAATGGAAGTAAACACCAAAAATTTTATTGGGGAAATTAAATTGAGGGAAAGGGGTACCTTTTGGAATAGAGAAAAGCATTGTGGCTTTCTTGTCCCGAAATGGGAGAAATAAAGAGTTGCTGCTCAGGGTGGACCCTGGGACAGGGGCCCTGTGCAGGAGAGAGGGCTGGCAGGACTCTGTCCTGCTCTGTCCTGGGGCATTCAGGGTTGGCAGGCCCAGCCCTTTGAGCTAGGCCTTGTCCTGGATGCAAACAGCTCAGGTGGAGCCAGAGCAGGGCAGAGGCAGGGATAGGAGCCGGTGGGCAGACAAGGGGCAGAGCTGGCTGGGTAGGTCAGGCTCATCCTACTGGCTGACAGCTCCAGGAAGTTAAGGCATCTGTTCATGTGCTGGGGACAGGTTTGGGGGCGTGCAGTAACCTGCAGGGGTAACCTGAGGCCCCCATCCCCGCTCTGCCCACAGAGGCCTGGGCTCCCCAGGAGGAAGTGGCTTAATTTAAAGTGCTAAGAGGGGAAGGAAGGCTGGAGCAAGAATCCTGCTGGTCCCAACAACTCTAGGGCCACCCCAAATGGGGGCATTGGAGCCCTGCAGCAGGTGGGGGACTTCCTGAGGTCTCTTGGACACAGGGTCACAGGCCCTGGCAGGGTGGGGTCAGTCAAGATGTGGCTGGTGGAGAGGGGACCCCCTCAGCCTCAACCCAGGGTCCAAAGCAGTCTGGTTTCCTGGGTCTCAGCTGGGCTGTACAGGGTCCCAGAGCTGCCTACTTGGCATCCCACTAGGGCCCTGAGAGGCTGGGGAAGAGGCTGGACGCAGCCGAATGCAGACGGCACATGGTCCCGCGAGGGGGTGCGCCAGCAGCTTGGTTCCAAGGGGCCCGCAGTGACGGGCGGTCCTCAGGACGGCCAAGGTGGCACAGGTGCAGGCCAGGGGTCCCCCTGGGCTGGCCACGCCACCCCCATCCATGGCTACAGGTGCCAATTCGCCCTCTGTGGGCCGCGGCGTCCGTGAGAGAGAAGCAGAAAAGTGGAGGTCAGGGTGGGAGGAGTGGGGTAGGGTTGTGGGACCTAAGGCTCAGGACACATCTGAGACACCCCCTCCCTGAGCCACCCATGCCCACCCCAGCCTCCCAGATCCTTCCCAAGCTGTCCAAGCCCTGCCATATCCCAATCCTGTCAGTAGCATATGGCAGTCATTACAGCAATTTCCTACAGGGCCCCTAGCCAGCTGGAGGTCCCATGTCATACCCCTGGTATCCTGGGGACCACTTGGGGCAGCTGCAGCCTCAGTCTTTCCCTAAACACTTAACTACCAAGAGCCCCTTATACTCACCAGCTGAAGACCCACCACCAGCCCCCACTGCCCGAGTCCTCTCCCTGAAGAATGCACTGCCCCGTGCCGGTCTATCCACCCTGCCTGAGACCCTCCCTCTGCTCCCTGGGGCCCTGGACCCACAGCCCTGGCCTTGCCCAAGGAAAGGAAAGTGACTCTTTTTCTTTTTTTAATAAAATTATAGATATATAGATGTAAATATAAAAACATAAAACAGACACAACGCAAGCAGACGCTGCCATGTGCTTACTCAGGTCCCTGACGTGAGGGGGAGCACTGACCCCCTCCCCATGTGCTTTCCGCATGGCACTGGCCGGGGCAGGGCCAGGGCCTTTGAATGCCTTGGGGGTGTGAGGATTCTCCAGTTTGGCAGGGAGGGCCTGAGGGCTTGAGAAGGGGCTCCAGGTCTCTCCATCCCCCGGGGGCAGCCATAGGGCACCCATGCCTGCTCCCACCTGCCACCCATGGCCTCCCACAAGAGCATAAAAGCAGAAGTTAAGGCTTCGATGAAATGGACAGCATTGGCCGAGCGCTAACACATGGCACAGCAGCACAGCACACAGACACGGGGACACAAACCCAGCGGCCGGGCAAGACTGGACACCATGGAGCTAGGACTCCTGCCATAGTTGGATATCTGTCTGTCTACCCATCTGTCATAACCCAGAGCAGGTAAGGGCTACACCCCCTGCAGAAGCATGGACCTTGCCAAACTACAAGCTTCCAGCCAGATCAGTGAAAGGCAATGCATTAGGAACAGCTGGGACAGCAGGGTGTCAGAGGTTCAGATCTGTAAGGGGGAGTGGTGGATCATGGGGCTGTGGGTCTGGGGAGAGAGAAGGGTGGGGTGATGGGTGGCAGAGTTGAGCTTGGCTGATGGAGGAAGCAGTCCGGGTCCCCCGTGCGCCCGCAGTGGCACGGACCCATAGCCTCGCCTGGGAACCTGTGTGTCCCATGAGCAGATGAGTGGGTGGCTAGGTCCAGGGCATAGAAACAAGCTTGTGGAGGCAGGGCGCGCTCTCCTGCTGATGCATCCACACCAGGCGTGGGCAGCCTCATCTCCCTGGGGCAGAGAAGTCGGTGGGGATGGGGGAAGCAGCCGTGGGGTTTCTGATCCCCGGGGCGCCATGGTGAATGAGTGGCAGTCCGTTCTCACACGGAGATCTCGTACGTAGTCCCACCCACGCCGGACACCTTCTTAACCAGCGTGTGCCGGGCAGGGCTGGCGGAGGGCCCCACGGGGCCAGCAGCAGGCCCCAGGCGGGCCAGGCCTGGGGACTGCCCATTAAGCTTACTTGGGGGGGTCTTCAGCTGAGGGTGGTCCCTGCATTAAAATAAGCACATATACACGTGCCCACAGTGAACACAAGATGGTGGGCAACAGGACGCACACAGACGTGGATGGGAGCCCTGTGTCCTGGATCCCGGGCAGTCCCTGCTGTCATAGGACACTGTCATCTTCCTGGGACCCTCAATCCCTGTCAGCTGATACTGGCAGAGCCCTAAGGTACTGCTTTGTTCTATTCCATCCTGATGTCCTGAGCTGGGAAGCCCGAGGATGACCCTGCATGGTACATTTTTTAAGGAAAATAAAGGGCTTCCATCCTGCCTTCTGAGCTGGCCAGCACTGACTAAGAGGGAGGGACCCCTTTATTCCCTTGGCTGCCCCTTCCTTGACCCTCCCCCACTCCAAAAAAAATTGAAGAGAGTATAGGTTGGGGAAGCCTTACTCAAGAGCCACACCATTTGCACCTGTGCCCCCGGGCCCCTCTGTGGCCAAGTAACCTGGACAGAGATCCCTGCTGAAGCTTTATGACTGTACTCGGTGGCTGGGGCCTGATTGGGGCAGAGCCAGGACAATGCTGTGACAATGCCACATCCTATTCATGAGCTCAGCTCTCCCACTTGGACCTGGCCTGTGAGTAGCCGGTTACCAGCCCACCCCATCCATAAGCAGGAGGGAGGCCCCTACTTCCTGGGACTCTGTATGGTAGATTTTTTCATTAAGATGTTGCTCTCAGCCCCAGCCTCCTGAAGTAGCATACAGTCAGATGTCCAAAGGAGGCCTACATTTCATATGGAACCAACTCCCAAGGAAGATACCCCAAGGCCCTTTTAATGTGCTCTGCCTCTCCCACACACAGTGTACCCAGAGGCAGATCACCCCTATCCAGGGCAACTAGGGGCCCTCAGGGCAGGATAAGGCTCACTACCCCACTCTGTCCCCATAACCATAGGTCTTCAGGACACATGGGTACCAGGCCAAGAGATGGCTGGTTGGCTGTCCTGTACAGGGAGGCCCACCCATACCAACAAGCACCCACCTTTGCACAGCCAGCGAGGGTGGCCGTTCCGGGAGGTCCGTGTGGATGAAGGCGACAGCTTTGGGACCCGAGTAAGGGGGCGAGCAGGGAGTGCCTGGTGGGGAGGGCAGACCCTGGCGTGCAGGTGACCTGTGTGAGCCACTGCCCGGCCGAGGCCCTGGGGCATTGTTGTTGGCCTGGTCAGCCTGCAGGGAGGAAGAGGATGTCCGAGGTGCTCGGCTCACAGAGCTGGACAGAGAGGACAGTGATGACTGCAGGGCAGGGTTGCGGGCACCACCAAAGCCAGGCCCAGACACCAGGTCATCTCTGGAGCCATAGCGCAGCACTGAGCCACGGGGACCCTCCGACAGCACACTGGCCTGCTGTAGGCTGTAGGAGCTGGGCGTGTCATAGACTCCAGAGTCGCCAAAAAGAGAGTCAGCCTGGGAGCGCAGCAGCCGCTCTCGCTCTTCCCTGTCCTTGCGCTCCTGGATGGAGGCCATAATGGTCCGCGACAGGTTGTCATAGCGCACAGGAGAGGGCTCCCGAGGCCGGGGTCCCAGCACGGGACTGAAGCTACGGGGTGGGGGCCGCGGTGGGTCACCCGCCACCCCAGGGTGCAGGTAGGGTGAGTGATAGCCAGCCATGCTGACAGAGGGGTGTGCCGGGCAGGCGTGGCCACTGGGAGAGCCAGGGTTAAGCAGACTGTCATAGGACAGGCTGCCAT